TCATTATCATTGCTATTGTTATGATACTATTATTATCATTAGTCTTACTGCTATTGCTATTGCTATTGCTATTACTATTACTATTACTATTACTATTACTATTACTATTACTATTACTATTACTATTACTATTACAATTACTATTACAATTACTACTACTATTAATATTACTATTACTATTACTATTACTATTACTATTACTATTACTATTACTACTAACAATTAATGTTGTTATTACTGTCACTATTTCTATGACTCGGCTCACAGCATGTATAGTGGTTGGCATCACACTGATCGAATTTTTCATTCTGTCAGGCCGATACCCTGACAACACAACTGAGCTCCTGACTAGTAGCAACAGTAGTGCAGGCTCCAGACAGCCGTGGGTCTTGTTTCGAGGAGTGATTTCGGGGCCTATAAATAACTACCTATACTATTTTAGGGGTTCCTTATTATACTTATAACAGAATATACCCCAAAACCCTATTCTGACTATTAAGGCCCGTGCATTCATGTGCTCGTCGACCCACAAGCTTTGCTTTGGAGCTCCCAGGCTGAAGATCCTGTATGGCCCAAGAGCGCAGACAGTAGATTCAATCCCTGGCGCCCTAAATTTGGGAGACACTCCCAAAAACTGTCAAAGCAGACCTCCGGATACTGGGGCTTGAAATGGTTTGGGGTGTGCAGTCTTGATAGTTGGGGTTTGAGACTTTGGGTTTAGGCTCTAAGTGCCCCGCAACTTGTGACAGGTTCCTGCTCCCAATCTCGCGCAAAACCAGGCCGGCACAATCTGTGAAGTGACAGGATCTTTTTTTGTATGTGTGTATGTAGGTGCTGTAGATGAGCATATTCATAGACCACACTTTCGGTGATGGATACACCGAACATTTCAGACAGGCTAGACAGACAGAGAGGCACAGGCGGCGACAAAACGACAGACACACAGACACGGATAGAGACGAGCGGCCGGCCTGACAGACAGACAGACAGGTCAGCCTGCATAAAGAAATGCACAACAACACAAGCAAACGTATGAACAATAGAACAAGCAAACATAGACATTCATTCGTTCATACATACGTCATACATACATACATACATACATACATACATACATACATACCATACCATACATGCGTAAATGCATGCATGCATACAGACATACAGAATACAGACACCTGCAAATACATATACACACACGCCCATACATACACATGCATGCGCAATGCACATACATACTCCGTACATCTCCAAATCCCTCACACATATGAACGTGCATATGTATACACGCATACATACATGCATTCATACATACGTACATACATACCTACATACACCGATACATACATGTACATATACATACATACA